ATTTGTTTGATAAATGCAACACTTATTAAACAATCTTCAAAGTAGTAATTGTTTTAATACTGTAAAAAAAAATGTCAATATACTTATTGATGTTTTCATGTTTTATTCTTATAGTGGGTTGATATGCTTGATCTGATTGGTCGAGCCCTGGAGGAGAATGATGTGTCATTCGTTACACTTCATGCCCATAACCAGTTTCAGGTAAATCACTAGTTTTTATTGACAAGGTTTTTTATTTATTTATTTAATAAAGTATTTTTAAACTAACCAAATGACTTAGTGTATGAATTATTGATATGTAATTCTATGACGAACTGTTAAGTACAGCGTGATGATTTATTTATCTGATACATCAGTATAGGTACAGCGTGACTTTCACTTTTACACAACAAAAACTTGAAATCATTTAAAAACTATTTACTCAAGAACCTGAGGCAAGTCAAGTCTTGAACATCAGAAAATATTGATGTTGTTGCTCTTACATTTGATAGATTGGTTATCAACATTTTCTACGTGCACATGACAAGTAACCAATTGAACAACCATTGCTGCTTTCCTTTTTCTCAGTGCACATTATTTGAAGTTAATGACCAGCAAATAATTTAAATTAGGAGTGTAGAATGAACCAAACATTTCAGTGATATTTTATTACTACTAATACTTATGGGTATTTTTTCTACTAGTACTTTATTAATTACTACATGTTTAAAACAAACCATGTTATAAAGACTGTGATTGGAAACTATTACAGAATCAGTTCCCGTACTTTTCCTTTATATAATTCAAGATAACTAAATATGTAACGTAAATAAATATAACTTAATTGCATACTCAATGGGTACTTGTGAATGAACTGAAACAAAATATAAACTGGGTGCAGGCAGTTGAAGTTTTATTGATTACTTGTCCTGGAATAGTGAGGATTTTTCTTACAAATTTACTTCAAAACTGTTCTGTTCTGTTGATAAAATTATAAAACAAGTTACTTTGGACCCGGCATGGCCAGATGGTTAGGGCATTCGACTCGCAATCTGAGGGTCGCGGGTTCGAATCCCCGTCCCACCAAACATGCTCGCCCTTCCAGCCGTGGGGGCGTTATAATGTGACGGTCAATCCCACTATTCGTTGGTAAAAGAGTAGCCCAAGAGTTGGTGGTGGGTGGTGATGACTAGCTGTCTTCCCTATAGTCTTACACTGGTAAATTAGGGACGGCTAGCGCAGATAGCCCTCGTGTAGCTTTGCGCGAAATTCAAAACAAACAAACAAGTTACTTTAGGTTTAACTAGTACATGAAATTACAGTTTTACAAGGCATATCTGTTGTATTTTCTTGCATAAAATTTGCTAGACAGTTTTCAAATGCTTGAAAAGTAGTGAAATATTAAAAAAGTATCATGAGGAAGTGTACACAGTGATGTATGCAACACAAACTTGAATATTTTTGTATGTTTTGTATAAAATGTATTTTATACTGCTTGAGAAAATGATAATTTTAACCATCTTTATTACTAATTTTTCTGTCTACCTGTATGTTTTTAGCATAGTAGTCTAAAACACTAAATACTTACAAAAGAAACTTAGAAACTAAAATGGCTATCAAAAACCATTATTTTCTTTATTATATTATTACTTCGAAATTTTCATTTTATTTATAGAGTTATAAGTCAGCTCATTTGCTCAACATTACGTTGTCCAAAAATAACATAAAATTGCTGCACTCAGCCACTGGCTTACTTTTATTTTTGTATGAATATATTGAGATAGATAAAAATATTTATTTTCAATACATTTTCATTTCTGTACTTACAAAAAAAAACATCTATAAAATATGCTTTGTTTTTCTATCATAAAAACAACATTCTGAGGCATATTAAAATCAGTTGAATTTTATATCTTATTTATAAGCTAAGTTTTATTGCTCAACACAAACATGTGCAATATTTTCTATTCCTGAAAGGGAAATGGATTAACTCTAGCGAGTATTTTGTCTTTACCGTATCTAAACTTTACACATGTATTTGTTACCTCACAGTGCACGTAAAAACACTAAGTAAAAAATATTTGCTTTATAAATATTAAAAGTAGAATATTAATCTTCGAATTACACTAAATAAATATTACATAATGACAAAATATAAATTCTAAAATATTTTTCAATTAAAAATTGAATTATTTTTACTTAAGACCTGGAAGGTGCTCTGGAAGCCTCACAGTATTAAATACACAGACCATTACTCTAGAACACTTTGGAATAACATTATCTGACAATGTCAACTGTCTAGCACTAAGAAACAATAATAAACAACAAGTTTCATACTTATATTTTCTTAAAAAGGAAACAGTTTTAGTAATATCTGTTGTTCCAAAAGGAAAACAGATTTTCATTAAAATGCAATATTGAAGATATCTGTAAAATATCATTAGCTATTAAAAACAACATTCTTCCCAAATTTGAAATGTTTAATTTTTCACAAAAAAATTTAAAAAGTTCCAACTTTCATTTTTGCACAGCTCCGAGTCTTGTTTGTAAACAGCACATCAGTTTTTTTTCTAAGGAATTATAATACCCTGAAAATACAATGATTCATGCTTTCTTTTTCATATGATTTTCCTTCTATGTTGGTCTTTAGTTTCCACCTTGTTTTATTGTGTCTCAGCACATGAACTGAATAATTACTAATGAAGTTTAACTTTGAAAATAGCTAGTCTACAGCTAAATACAATTGAATAGAGCAGATTATATTATCCACATGAATTTAGAGTAAATAAAGTGGTTTAAGTAGTAATTTTTGATTTTTCAAGATATTGAGTACCGTTGGCTCATGTAAGAATGAAAAAAATGAATCTAATGTGAAGTATAAAAGACTGGAACAAACAACAGATCTGGGAAATTTTGTATAGCTTAGATGTTCTTTACATTTCCTGAAAATATTGTTAAATTACATCTGTTTGAAAGCTTTGTTGATAAATATCAACCCAGAGGAACTGACTGGACATATAAAAGTGAAAGTTTCCAATTAACAATAAATAAATTAAAATTCTAATTTGAAAGGAAGTATTTTTACTGTTATTCAAAACAGTGTCTCTCAACAAAATATTTGAAATTTCACAACTTGTGTGTTTTTTTTAAAGGTAGAAAATAGATACTTAATAATTTACTAAATTTCATGCAGTTCGTTTAATTATTTCCACTATGGGATATCAGCAGTACCCTCCCCTGATTGAGAAGGGTTAAAATAGCTTGATATAGTCAACATCATTCCGATTACTTTTTTTTCTTCATAGTTATGAATTTCAAAAACTTGTTGGAAGTGTCTTCAAGAAGATATTGCTGAAAATATTAGACCAAATTTAATGGAAAATTGTACTTAAATACATTTGTATTATAATTTTCTGTATCTTAAGTTAATAATTAGACCACCACTCATCTTTAATTTTTTATATTATAAATTTAAAGTACCTAAATTTATATAAAGAGAAAAAAAAAGCTGTGAAGGATTACATAGTTCTTATTCATAATGAAGAGAAACGTTTTTTGGTGATCTTGAACTGAACCAAAAACATGTATAAATTACCTTATTTGATTATCTCATTAAGAATAATCTCGTGAGATTCAAGTACGATTCTGAGGTGAGAGCACTACTACTACCTGTCCATTCGGGAGCTAATGGGCTAAACTTAATCGAGGCCACACACATACTTCTTGTGGAGCCAATATTGAACCCAGCTAGTGAAGTTCAAGCTATTGGTCGAATTCATCGCATTGGTCAAACCAAGTAAGTACTTATAAGGAGCAAGAAATAATATTACAAGTTTATGTCAGAAATTGTAATACCATTAGTACTCTAGTGCCGACTGGCAGGCCTTTCAAGTAGCCTCTCAGGAAAATTAGGGACTTCAGTAGGGATGATTGATAATTCACAGGAAACTTACTGGTGGTTTTGTACAATTACATAGACGTTAAAACATTAAGAAATGCACCAACATATACACAACTAATCTCATTTGTAGGATAGTTTATGCTGCTTAGAATTAAACTTCACCTTAGCCAGTTCTTTGTGTTTATTTCCCTGTGCATGTTTCAAGAGCTTTTGTTTGGCATTATTATCACAAGCTACTGTCTTTTGACAAATACTGCAGGAATAGTGAAATTGGTCATTTGGCGATAATTGACACCAGCAATAAAGATCATGAGCAATATTGTCTACACAGGTTAAACATTGGTGCTGGAATTGTTTTTCCATACATCATTTTAGTTTTCTACATTACCATGAAAATATGAAACTTGTTAAAGAGGCTGTCTCAAGCACCACTGCCATGAACACGTAAATTGCACAAGCAATACAACACCAAATGCATGGATGTTCGATTAGCATAAAATTAATAATTGCTATTAAAACTATTGGGGTCTAGCTATTTCTGGGCATGAATGATAGAGATTTGCACATTTCCACACACAAAAATCAAACAATGATGCTAAAGCTTACACAAACAGTAACTAGAATAAAAAGTATAACTTAACAAAAGCTGATGAACATGCTTCAACTAGAAAACTCAGATGTGTTAAGCTAAAGGAGCATTTTACCATCCCTCAGTCATCCTTCACTGGGATGGAGGCCATGTACAGAGAAGACTTAACTCATCTGTCTATGATGCCACCAAGAAGATATAACTTGTGAAACACTTTGCTATAATAATAAGGGCAGCTAGATTATATCACAATATGTTTTGGAGACATGTTTTATGTTGAGCTAAACCAAAAGTGAAGTTAAAAAATAGGAAAAAATACGAATTTTGCCTTAAAAAATGATGAAAAAAGTAGGAAAGTAGGGTTCATTGTGATGCCTTAACTGGTTGGTTTTAACAAAGATTTGGTTTGTTACAATTAAACAACTTTGCTAAACAAAAGGGTATTAAATTACGGACTGCAAATCATTTAATAATCAAATCGTCAAAAAATGTTTATTCATAACATTTAACCTTATGTGTGTTATTAATTCGTTTTCTTGACAATTAGTTCAGAATTTAATTTTTTTTATTTGCTCAGGCCCACCAAAGTACATCGTTTTATCGTGCAAGGTACAATTGAGGAAAAAATCCATCATGCTTTACAACCATACCACCCCTCTGTAGACAGTCTGGAAGTTGAACAGCACAGCATGACACTAAAAGAATTGCAAGATTTGTTTGACCAGTCCTAACAATTAAATTTTTGACTCCCTAGAAGAAATACAAAATTTGTTCCAACACCAATTGTACAGTTTTTTTTTCACACTAAAGGTAGTCAGTAGTACATTTTTAGTTCTTTAAGATGCATTGTTGGAAGTATCTTCTGTTAAAGTGTGGTAAACATACAAAACTGTGAGAGATTTGAGTAATTGGCTTCAGACGTAAAATCCACACACTCCATTGGTTGGTTAAGATTTTTTACTCTCTCTCTCTTCCACACTGGTAATGACAATTCATGATTATAATAATATAACTTCAGTGATTAAAGAGTAAGAGCGTGTTAATATTATCCATGTTAAGTCTATCATACAAAAATTGTTATGGTAACTTGTAATGTTACAAGTGTTCTTGATACATTTCATTTTTATACTCATCACCAATTTGCAACTTTTTATTTTTTTTCTCTTTGTACAGGTATACAAGTTTATTTTAACATTTCAAGAGATAATGTACATATATTTTATCCTGTCATGTTTTTTGTAAACACATATCACACTGATACAGAGCTTTTGTTAAAATTCAGAGTGAAAAATGTTAAGTTTTTATTTACTGCAAATGTACATTTCCAAACAAAACTCCATTAAAGTAAGCAAGAATATGTCCTTACCCCATGTGTCTTAAGTGCATTTTGCAAAATAATATCATCTGAATAATATGTTACATGTACATGTAATATATCATTCTTCAATATTGTGTTGGATCTGCCATGACCTATCATATGTCACCATCATTTTTCTGATGAGCTCTAGAAATGTAACCTGACTATGAGAAAGATTGAAGAAGTTTACATGTAATATTACAGCTATGACAACTGTTATAATGTCTATTATTCTCCTCAGTTCAATGTTATGCATATTGGGTTTAATGGTGATTTGCAGTCATGGTTATCATCAACATATCAGATAAAAATTTTAAATATTTTCAAGATAAAATGACATTTCTTGATAATAATATTTATTACTGGAAGTGACAAATATAAATGATACAGTTTTTCAGAAGTAACAACATACTAATTTAATAATTCCATTTAACAGTAATGAAAAAAGTCAAATAACACATTCCAAAGTGAATCAACTGGAATAGTATTACTATAATTTATGTATGCTGTCTTAGATTGCTTGTGAATCCTATATTTTTCAAGATTTCACAAGTTATTGCATCAGGCAGAGGTAAATGAAAAATCTGATCTTTCTTTGATAAAACTAACTTTTCAGTTAAATATTCAATTTTAGAAACAACACATTTTATACATTATTATAAAATATTCAATCAATTTAAAATAGCATAATATCTTGCATTTCTCGAGGAAATGTTTTTAGTAATTCTAACACCAGGTTAAGCAGGTGGTCCATTTAAAACAATGTTATGTAGTGTTTTTGGTAGAGAGATGGATTGAAAAAGTAATTTGTTTTTTCTCAGGACGATTAGTATTACTGTAAATTTGACCTCTCTTTGCAAGCTGTACACAATGTCTAACAATGCTATCTTTGTTGAGCCTTTTTCATTCATACCAGTGCAATCAGTTTCAATTTTTTATTGTATCTAGTTTATTTAATGCTTCTTCTGGCTTCACTTACAAGGATTTGAAGATGGTAATGATTATTTTTATAACCCACAAAATAAATCTACCAGCACATTCAGCTTAGATAAAGTAGTGAGTTCATATAAAACTGTGTAAAGGTTTTATGCATTTTGTAAATTAGGTTCATTAGCAATATTGTTTAAAATATTTAATTTTCAGAATTTATATAACTTTCCTTTTTGCCAATTATCGAATAGAAAGGCTTTTAGTAATATTTCTTAATAGTATAAATATATAGTATGTTGCTGTTGGGCTTAGGATGCTGGCTTGTTAGTGATAAATTCAACGATGAATAAACAGCACTCACTTCACTTGTTTTCAAAATAATATATATATTCAGAACAAGTTAATGTATGTACAATAAATTCTTCAACACTATAGATATTATAGGCATATCATAAATACTATATATGTAGTTTTCTTATTATTGTCAAATATCCACTTACGCCTATTTAATTACCTTAGAATTTCAGTTGACAAGCCAAACTATCTTCTCTATTTCTATTGCACTAGTATTCTCTATGATTCACCTACAGTTGTGGCACGAGTTACCGTAATTGTTTGGTCTTCTTTCTTTTGAAGATCCTCTGTTCCTTTTGTCAAAGTGCACTCAGGCTGTTTCAATTACTTTAGAACCACTCTTTGACGGAATAAAATTATTTTTCTTATTTTCTTTTCTACTATTAGTTTCACTCTAACATATTAAACGTTAAGCCTGTGTCAATTGTTAGGCCTATCACTTCCACGATAGTTAACTTCACACTAACTTCATTCTCTTTTGCTATTATCTGTCTGCTGTTTTCCGCTCATCTCACGCTATTTATATCATTATCACTTACTCGTCTGCCCACCTTCTATATTCTTGACGTCAATGAATTAGTATAAAACTTCCTACAATATTTTGCTTTTAACTTCTATTATAACAAAAACTAAACAATAATAAAATATTCACTCACAAAAATAAATTGATCACTAATATCTAAACCAAACAGTTTTATATCATGACATTAATATATATACATTAATTTTTATTATGATGATTATTTTGCATGTTTTGGAGGTGTGGGCCTAAGCTAAATGTAATTTAATATCTGATATTTACCTCCACATACAAAACGTTTGAAATATCTGGAAACATCCACAAAAACACTAATAATAATAATAGTGGTATCTATATTTAAGAACCAATGTAGTTAAGCTATTAGTACATTCATTGTAGAAACAGTTTTCAGCAGTTACATTAAAAATAAAATCTTACAATTTTGTACTAGTTGTAGATTTAGTAGCTCATTTTGCATCACTAGGATTTTTAATACAAGATGACATTTCTTTTGAACTTAAATCATATTATTGTGCTTCTTACTGTCCAGTTAGCTTGTTTTTGCCAATTCTTCCATTCATGAAAGTTAATTTTAACCAGTTAGAAAGTCGCAATTTGTGATAACAATAATTCATCTTGCCACGACAAATTTTTTGGTTCGTGAAGTATCCAAGCAACACTTTGCAATTCTTGCTCTGCAAACACACATTTTGAGATTAGTGAACTTGTTCAAGAATAATGTCCACTGTGTTATTCTTAGATTCAGTGATTTTCCTTTTGGGTGGTAATTGCAAATAACAGGATCTATACGTTATGTCATACTTTCTTCAGAATTTACTAGAAGCACTGTCCAAAGTCTATACACCTGTCTTTTGACTTTTATATTTGTATTAAATATTAGTTTTAATCTTTAATTTTTTTTGTTCAGCCTCTCTACTTAGTGAATTAAAATTTTCAGTTTTGCCCTTAAGGTACTTATAGCTTAAATGTAGGGTTTGATCCCTATGATACACATTGTAGATATCTAATTGTACCTTCGTACTAAAACAGTTGTGAAAAAAATATTTAATATATATATTACTTAGGTGAAAACCTTTAAATACTTATTTCAAAGATTATAAGTGTACACCGGTTTTTGCCATCATTTAAAAAATGTTTTATTCTTCATACAGTTTGTAACATCTTGAGCATAGCATAACATTTTAAAATTGTTCATCTCTGTTAATCAGTCAATAACTTCAACTATCAAACCTTGTTTACACTATGCATACTTCTGCTGAAGCTTATTCATTAAAAATTAAATAATTAATCAAAATGGGCTATTATGATGATACAACTTGTAGCTAGTACTTTAGGAAGTGTTATTTGTTCTATGGTAATATATATATGTATTTCGGGTAGGGAAACTTTTAGAGCACTTAGACTTTCACATAAGAATTTGCTTTGTGCAGTACTAACCTTATTTTGTGTTCTAGATATAAATGGCCAAAGTATGTCCCACTTAGGTATTTTTCAATCTTGTATTTGCTTTCTCTGATCACATCACCATATTTAGAAATGCTTAAACTCCCTACTTTTGATACTAATGGGACAATTAATGACGTAGGTAGCAACTACATTCTAAGAGATTACATTGTTTCCACCAGGAGATGCACAATACTAGCTCATAATTGCAAGTGAAGCCTTTTACTACCCTAATTTCTGACAGCCTTATCTTTAAGCAGAATATGAATTAGACATCATATTCACACATGAAGGTACTCTGTAAATTTGAATTTTAAGTCAAAATATATAGTTGTGAAGAGAGATGTCAGGATTTCAAGGGGGTTTTTTACTGCAAGAGGCAGTTTATTTAATGAATGTGGCACCAAAATAAAAGATCTCTTCACATTTGTATATAACATATTTCAATGGTTCATGTCGGTGCATTATTCCAGTTTTAAGAAATCGATTAAAAAAATCATTGCTTTATGTAATATAATACAGGTTTTCTTTTTAAAACAAAAGAAAAAATACCAAAAGGATCTTTTCTCAATATCAAACGTGAAAACTGGGAGTTTTTAGTATCTTTTTTTAATGATGTATATATTAGAGAGAGTTTTTTTTCTTTTAAAATTTATAAATTATTATTTTTTACTTATTGCTACCCACTTCACAGTCAACTTAAAACATACTTTTATTTACATCCTCACTCTTATCAGGTTATTGTACAAAGGAACTCAAGTTTTTGTTTTGGACTGTACTACAAATATCAACCACGTTTATCACTTCCATTATTGGATACACTGTTTTAGAAGCTGAAATATTTCTTTCATTTTAAACAAGTATACAACTATTCTGTGTGTGTATTACTACCATTACTCCACATTATGTTACCACCCTGACAGGTGTGTGCATATTTTTTAAACATTTTATATGCTTTAGTTGAAAATTAAACTTCATCCAAATTTCCTCTCATTTTAAATATAGAGGTTTTTTGTATTACATATTTTTCCTTGAACATCTTTCATATCTGTGTAGTTTCTTATTACATCAACTTGTGCTTGCATACATCAAGAAGTAATGTAAAAAGAATACTGTTTCAGCTTACATGCATGACAGTACTTTTGATACTGCTGTATATTTACTATAGCTATTCATTGAAAATAGCTCATATTCATATGGTGAAATATATATTGAAATAGCTAACTTATCTAATACACCTGATAGAAAAAAAGGGTTGGCACAGTTATGAATAAAATATACTTTTTATTATTCAAATACAGCGTCATATAAAAGAACAAACATACATTTTGCTCAAGAATTGTTTGCGAAAGATGGGATGTTGATTTTATATTTAAATATGGGGTTATAATAGGACATTACATGTTGAGTGTTTTGATATACAGTATTATATACCAGTTTTACAGAAAACAAACATGAAATAATAAGGGCTAACTGAAATCTCCTCTGAAATATAAAGAGCTTACTTGTTTTGGAAAAAGGATACTTTTTTTTTTTTCTCCTGCATATTGAAATTGTTTTAAATTTTCATTCACTTCAAATTCTTAAGGTTTTCTGGAAAAAATAAGACGTCCAAATCAATGAAACATCAGCAACCATTTTTTTTTTCATGGAAAAAACATGATAACTAAAAGTGGGTGAAGTTGCAAGACAGTAATGATTCCTAGGAAAGATTGGGTTGAACTGAGTTTGTAAACTAGTGGAAAGAGTGAATCAATGTGCTCAAACTGATGCTACTCGGTCATAAAACTCACCAGGGTTGGGGTTCACAGAAAGTCATACTATAAAGCATGGAAAACTTGTGTAAAAAAAAGTACTACAATGATACAAGTTGTTGTTCATCAGTAACACTTTCCAAAGTGTATCTATATAATCATTCTAACTACTTCATTTTGTTATTCCTGTGATTTTTATGTATTCTGCCAATGAATATTGTTGGCCATATAACTGATTTCAACGTTTATGTTATTATTAAAGAACATTTATCCGAGCTTGGTAGTCACTATATATCTTTTAATAAAAAAATTACATTGTCAGGACATTTACCTTTTACAGTCAATGAAAATATGGAATAATTATTCTAATTTAATTTTTTCTACAAAAGTAAAATACAAACAAACATGAAAATGTTTTAATTATATACATAATGTCTACATTAATAAATACTATTTAAAGTGGTTGATGATAGAGAAACCTATTAGTCGACATTAAAGAGTTCAGACGTCAACATGTGGTGATAAAATTATACTGATTTATACCTGTATAATAAATATAATATATTAAATGTACCTTGCTCTATTTCAGTCACATTTTCTGGTGTGCCAAAGCAGATATATGACAGAAATTGAATGACTATTTTTACTGGGGATTTTCTTTAATAAGCATAATACTTACTTTGGGATATGCACTGGTACATTAAATGTAATTACACGTTATTTGTTGTGGACACCTGCACACCCATATGACAAGTCAGAAAATACTTAAATATTTGCAGTCAGATTAGTATCTTTATTACAACAGTACTTCTTTAAATACAGGATTTCTAGTCGCAGACACTGAAATCCATAAGTCTTAGGCCTGTCTTAGGCTTTAAGCCTTTATTAAGTACAGCCAATATTCAATAAAGAGATAAATTAACATTATAACTTGTGTAAATTTTTTGCAAGAGTTTAGTTAGGGCTAAACTTTACCATACTTAATACCATCAATAAATAAACAATGTTATTTTATGACCTAACATTAAACCTTTTAACATGTTGTACAAAATGTCTACTAAAGTATGTTTACTTCTGTTGAAATGAAGTGAGCGAGCATTTTGAGGACAGACAAAAACTAAGCATTAATAGATACCTAATTAGAGGAACCACAATTCTAACTAAGTCATAATGCATAAGCTTTTGCTCAATAACTTTTAAAACCAACTAGGTACATATATCACATTACTCATTCCATAACTGTGTAAGTCAGATTTGTTCCTTGCTGAAAACATTTTTAGATAAGAAGTCTATCTATGACCCAAGTATGTAAATCAAACCCACCTGTTACTGTGTTCAGAATATCCTGCAAGTATTCCATTGTATTACAGTCAGCTCTGTTTCCTGGTGTAATGTCAATGTTGTAGTCAGGGCCGTACATTAACAGGTACTGGCAAAATAGAGAAAAATACGTGACATTCACTTAAAATGATAAAGTAGTAGTTTTTACCAGAGAACTCTTTGTCTGTAAGCAAGACTTTATCAGTTTTACTTCAAAAACAAAAATTAATATGTTAAGTATTACATCAAAGTAACAGCATGATTTCTTTTTAGCATGACCAGTTTTTCTTTTAACACAAATCTATGCAGATCTATTCTCCAATATGAAGTAAGAGATGATATTATACATATACTAAAATTAGTATTAATATAATCAAGATATTTACATGCTAAATTGTAGTTACAGACCATTTATAACTGCAACAACCAATGACTTTTTATTTAAAAAATCTAAAGGATCTCCTTTAAGACGTATATAATTTGACCATGAAAATTATATATTTATAATAAAATAACTTAAGAAATGAGAATAAACTTTATAATTTAATCATCAGTATTAAATCTGTATAAATTATCAACCACACAGTATTTACTTTTCACTTCTGCACATTTAATACCTCATGGTCAGGAATATCTGGTTCAAGGTGGTGTTCCAACATCTCAGCCATGACATATGTCCAACAACGAGCAGTATTTGGAAAATTGTAGCCACCTACATTATGGAAATGTTTTATGTGATTAACAGCATCAAACAACAAAATACAAGACAGTTGGAATTACTAAAAAAAAAAATTATAATGTATGTTAAGCTTGAAAATAAATATAGAAAGAAATACCCTATGTATTTCAAAATGTTTATTTCATTATAAGACAGTTATCACTTGGTTACCTAATATAGTTTTGGCCGAAG